TTGTCCTAGCCACGGCAGTTGGCAGCACCACACACGCAGTCGAACCACGGGTCCACGTAGTCGACAGTCACCTCTTCTCCCTCTTCAATCGTGCGCTTGGCCACCACCACCACGGCCACGTTTTCGCGGTTGCGTAGCTCCACAAAGCGGCACGGTGCGTCGCACGAGTTCCCTTGCACACCGTCAGCTCCAAATCCTTGCACGCGTACAGACTGTTTAAGCAATTTCCTTCGCGGCTGCAGTTGGCAGCCGTGCAGTAGTAACTGGTGTCGGCATTAAGACAATCGTCTCTGAAGCAGTCATAAGCGCACTTGCACTTATCTGTAGGACCCGTGTCTGGAAATTTAATCTTCTCTGGGTTTCGAGACACACTCACCTTGTCCACACCCATTGGCCAGAGGTCATCGCCGTCGTCGTCAATAACGATTACCTCGGGTTTACGAGGAGCTGCTTCATGACAAAGCACAGCATTGCGCCGCGCAGACAGCGCCTCACGAACTCCTGGCAGCCGCAGAAAGCTATTCATGTACATCGCCTTCATTTTGCCGACATTGTACACTTTGGTGGAGGTGCGGACGGGCTTTTTGTGACCCTTGTAGCGCTGCTTTCGCGAGCTTGTCTTCCAGGGATTGTTCTTCATGCGTTTCTTCTTGTCCTCCCGCTCCTTGTACGTCTGGACACCCTTGGCCGTCGCAGTAGCCTCCGCTGCAAGCTCCTTCTTCACAGTCGCGTCCATGCCTACCTCGCGACCCTGTTATTGGCTGCATCCCGCAGCCTTGTGCCCTGCCGTCTTCCCCATGATGCTTCCTCTCCTCGACTGCCGCGAATTTTCAAATGGGCCCTTTAACCTAGCATATGTCATTGCCGTAGGCTCAGACTCAGAACCACCCACACCAGCCCCTATCATCACTGCGCGGATGTGCCACAGCGGACAAACTCCATTTTGTCCGTAATTCAGACTTGGCTGTCCATTTTTTATATTTTCTCGTCCTGTCTTAACCCCCCTGTTACCAACGTCATAAGTTATGACATAGTCCAAATTGTACGTCGTAACTTACGACATAGTGTTTTCTTCATATTGGAGTTGGCTCGGAAACGGCGACCTGATACTGAAATCAAATCAAATTTGGGGCCCATCGGATATAAGGCTGGAGAGGTTTTTGCTGCACACACAAAGACAGTACGAGGAAAAGGGTTCAAGTGGACCTTTCCAACTGTCATCATTTGATGAGTGGCCAGAAGTCTTCGGGCACTCTCAGCCATTCGAGATTTTGCCGGCTGAGACGTAAGCAAAATGCCGGTCTCTGTGAGCGCAAGGACCAAAGCTGAGGCTCAAGCGTCGGTGTCAGCGCCCGCCCTGGATCCGCGCCTGGTAGACTTCGGCCACCTGTGGCGCCAGCTCAAGGCCGCGGGGTGGCGGTCGAAGCCTCCCACCGGACTGTCAAACGATTGGGCGTACGTCAGGCCGTCCAGCGAGGTTCCTGCAGAAGGCGAGATTGTGTTCTACGGTATGTTGTGCTATTGCAGTATTACTATGCGTCATTTCTAACTTGGTTTGTGGTAGGTGAGAGAGCGGTGGTGGAGCACGCGATCACAACCGGACTGATTCAGGATGAAGAGGACAACAGCAGTGGCGAGGAGAGTGGAGATAACGGTGAGGGCAAGAGCGGTGGGGGCGGTGAAGCTGAGAGCGGTGGCGGCGGTGAAGCTGGGAGCGGTGGGGGCGACAGCGGTGATGGAGATATGGTGCGAGCGTCGCAGATTGATTGCAATGTGGCCCTCTCGGCCAACACAGTCGACGCGCTGTTCGGAAGTGACAGCGAGGACGATGGCACACCTGCGTTGACGCAGAACGCGGTTGGGAGAGCTTTTGGGCTATCCCCGCTACGTGCTGACGCGGTGCATGACTCAGACCAGAGTGTCGTGATCGGAGCTTTCCAGCGGCTGCTCTCGGAGACGGAGCCCGACCTAGACTCTGAGGACGACACGGTGGAGGAGCCGAGAGACGCCAGCGAGGGTGACGACACTGGAGGACCAGTTGTACCACGCGATCCAGCTGATGTAAACTTGATGAAGGCTGGAGATCTTAGAGAGGAGTACGAGAGTCTGAGTTCAGGCTCCGACTACGGCCAGTTTTCTGACGACGACGACGTGGAGCCTGTCCGTCCTGATCCAGACGAGGACGAGATATCGGACGACGAGGAGTCGCCCTACATGGATGCCGCTTTCATTGAGGCCCTGGGTGGCACCTTGTCCATCGAGCAGATGGACCAGGAAGCGCTGCGAAACTTTGCCTGGAGCGCGCCTTCGACAGTTTTTGCGGACGATGTGTCCTGCTTTCGCGGATTGGTGCAGGAGACCGCCCATCCAACACCAGAACTTTGCTCGAAGAAAGAATCACCTCTTGAATTGATGTTTTATTTCCTACCGAAGCGCCTGTGGATGCGGATCACCAAAGAGACGAACCGGATGAAAAGGCAGACGGTGGACCATCGAGCGCGTTATGAACGATCGCGGACGTCCAGAACGGAGAACATGCGTACACTTCGTGAACTTCGACGCCGTATTCGTCGGGAGAACGACTACTCACCGCGCGAGATCTTGTGCGTTATTGGGCTTCTCGTGGCTCATATGTTGAGCCCCACCCGACGCTTTTCGCAGCACTGGGCAATGACCGACGATGGTGCTTTAAGTGCAGGTGCGTTCGGCAAGTACATGAGCCGGAACCGCTGCACGTCGATCCTGCGCGATCTACACTTCGCGAACAATGACAGCCCGAACCGTCAAGACAAGCTGTGGAAGATCCGTGACGTTGTTGATGTACTGCAGGAACGGTTCCTGAGCGCGTGGAAGCCGCCGAACATCATCTCGTTTGACGAAGGTGTCTTGCCGGCGACATCCAGACGCAACACGACCAGGATGTTCATGCCAGACAAGCCTCACCGCTACGGGACCAAGATGTTTATGACATGCGACTCGTTGACTGCGTACTGCCACCGGTAAGCGACGAATGTTTTTTTGGATGATTTGCTAGGTCGTAAGCTATGACTTTATGATTTTGACCGTGCTCTCAATGTCGTATCTTTCAGGTTTGAGATCTATGTCGGAAAACGCCAAGCCAGCGAGTCTGCTGCGCAGGCATTTGACCGTAAGACGGGCGCTGCGGCAGTCATCCGCAACCTGAGCACTGTTCTAGCTGGGCATCGTGGCTTCCGGGTTGTGGTCATCGACCGCTTCTATTCGTCCGTAGCCCTCGCCATCCAGCTTCTCTCTATGTCAATCTACGTGATCGGTACGATCATGACGAACCGCCTGGGCTTCAACCGCGACATCGTAGCGGAGCATAAGACGCGACCAAGGCGCATCGAGCGTGGATCCTTCAAGTTCGCAAGATCGACGGCAGTGCCGACCATGGTTTCGTGCCTCTGGTGGGACCGGAAGCCGGTCCACTACCTCGCGACAGGTGTGTCCATGGCAGAGGACAGGATCCAGCGGAACCTGAAGGGGCTCGGGATTTCGATGTTCAAGTGCCCGAAGTTGGTGACCGATTACCAGCGCTGGATGGGAGGAGTCGACGTGCATGATCAGCTCCGCCTCCAGTCCTCCTCCATCCAGCTCTCCTTCAGGTTCCGGAAGTATTATAAGAGTCTTTTCCTCGGACTACTGGACCTGGCGCTCGTCAACGCGTACCTCACGCATAAAGAGGCCAGTCGGCTCGCCGGCGGGACGCCCATGAAGCGATACGAGTGGTTGAGCATGCTGCACAAGCAGCTGCTACAGCTCAAGGACGAAGACTTCATGGCAGCTCCCACTCCGTCGCCAGCAGCACGCAAGCGACGGCGCCCTGCATTCTCCGGGCACACGCTCGTGCAGTTCAACGACTGGGTGACTGTGAGGGGCGGCATCCAGAAGAGGCGTCAGCGGTCGTGCAAGGTGTGCTCGCTGTATCGAGGCGAGCTCAAAAAGTCGTTCCAGACGACCTACTACTGCCCGGACTGCTCCAACGGCGACGCCAAGTTCTACCTGTGTGGCAAGGCGCGCAGAGGTGGCGACAAGACTTGCATCCAAGTGTGGCACGAGGACTTCGCGTGCGGTGACAGGATCCCAGCACACCTTGGCAAGCGAGTCGTGCTGCGCCGCGCTCCCAAAACCGTCGGCGTCCGCAAGAAGACTCGTCGTGAGATTCTCCGCGAAGACAATGAGGGTGCTGACGAGGAGGCCGAACCGTGAATGCGAAGGAACGCCAGACGATGAGGACAACTAATCCCAGCTGGAGGCCCTCCTTAGTTATCCCCCCTGACGATGAGTGTGTTCATTGCTTCATAAATGTGACGTCCTTTACCATATGCTCTGTGTCTGTTCCTCTTTTAGCATGTCAGTCATCGAAAAGCCCTGCTCTATGTGTGCATTCGCTTGCGTCTTCCCGTTTTAATTTTTATGTTCACTCTTACAAAGTCGTAAGTGTCGGTGTCCGTGTCGTTTGGGTCATCCTTACGTCGTATGATATACGACGTAGCGTGTCAAAACCTTTGAGAACGTATACCTCCCATCGTTTTGGATAGGCAAATGGAAGATACAGCACCATACAAACGCGCTGGTAAAAGCTACGCCGTAAGTTATGACGTAAAATTAGTGGTTCACGGGCTCATTTTGCGGTAACAGAGGGGTTAAGGCGAGGGTCGCTTATGATTTGTGGATGAACTTGATGTTGAAGCGTTATCGAAAATATCATTTCAAATTCTTGTGGTGGAATCCGTTCAGATGACTCACACGTCACATTCGATTTGTGGATGAACAACTGTACAGCAACCATGTGAAGTCTTCAACAAGTGGCGGCCGCTCGCCGAGGCTCTATGACAGAGTACATTCTCATACATGTACTGGTGGCTGTATATTCACCAAGTCAGAAGCAAAGTATACACAGTGATGCTAGCTGTTGGCTTGCCCGAGGATGTACACCGTCGAAGAAGAGCAAAAAGGAATTTCTTAAAGAATGGCCTATGGCCAAACATCAACAGTGGTTGTTGAAGAAGGTGATGATTCGTGTGATACTGTACAGAAGTAAACACGCCAGCAATGATGGCGGCGCTTGCATCATTGCTTGCGTGTAAACATTTTGGTGACACCCTTACTACTGTACCGGTACATACGTACTGTACTGTATCATGTGGTGCTGGATGCGGCTCATACCGCACTTCGAAATTTGCCAACGACTGACGTCAAAGGCAGCAAAATGGTCTGTCGTCCAATGTTCTTGGTCGATGCCGGCGAAGCATAGGAACTGATCCCGCTTAAAATGCTCTTCGTCGTCCACAACTACTGCTATTCGCTAGTCGCCTATCTACCAGTACGTTGAAAGTCGCATTTAAAAAAAAATGAATGCCTCAACACTTATTTATTTTCGACCCAGATCTTACTTCGAAGAATCCGGCTTCACTAAGAGCGAAATCGGTATCCTGCTCGCCATCCCATGCATCTGCACTATCATCGGGCCTCCCATGTGGGGGGCAATCGCCGACGCACTGCACCGACACAAACAAGTGCACGTGTTTTGTCATATCTCTTCGGCACTCTTCATCTTTGCCATCCAGTTCAACAATTCGTTCCCACTCATGTGCGTCACAGTCTTCGCAGCTTATTGTCAAATGGTCCCAACGCTGGCGTTGCTGGGCCTCGCAGCGATGAAGCTCACTGGGCGCCGTGGAGGTGACTTCGGTAAGCAGCGCGTGTATGGAGCCTTGGGCTACGGTGTTGGTGGCTACATATCTGGAATGATGGCGTCTGCGGTCGGAATCGAATGGTGCTTCACGATGATGCTCGGTGTGTCTTGCATCTCGTTGTTGCTACTGCTCTGGTATATCCCAGCGGGGTACGGGGATGAAAACGACCAGCCACCACAAAAGGGACTCCTTCGGAGCAGTGTGAAGCACATCCTGCGTCGCCCAGACGTGCTCGTGCTTTTCATCGTGGCTCTCGTGGCAGGTATTAGTGGTGGCTATATCGACTCGTACTTGTTCTTGATGTGCTATATTCTGTCAGACGATGGCGCTACCGTTGTCAGCGTGCTTGTGGCCGTCCAAACATTGTCCGAGATTCCGCTGTTTTTCATGTCCAGTGTCTTGATTGAGCGCTTTAGAACCGCTGGCTGTCTGGTTCTCGTTATCATCGCTTTCTTCATCCGAGATATGGTATACACCTACATGGAGGAACCATGGTACATTGTTCCGGTTGAGATGCTTCACGGTGTTACTTTCGGGCTGCTTGTGGCGGCGTTGACTACCTACGTGTATAAAGCTGCCCCGAAAGGAGCAGCTGGAACGATGATCGGGCTGCTTTCAGCCTTCATGCGTGGGATTGGAGCGGGCACTGCGTCGCTTGTCGGCGGATACATCTACGAAGGGTACGGCGTTCGGACGATTTGTGCTTATGGACTCGTTCCGGCTTCACTTGTTCTAATTGGCATATTCGCATGGCTGGCTCGTCACCAAGAGTCAACAACAGTAGATCTGGAAAAACAACTTGTGGATGAGGTCGATTCCTCTTCTGAGCCGAGTAAGGTTTCGCATGTCCAGTAACTATGGTATCGTTGAGGTGAGTTTAAGGATAATTAGCTTCTTATTAACAAATTACCCCAGTATATTGGACTAGTTTGTTGGATTGAGAAGTTAGATGGACAGAAACAATTTTACTGAAGTATCAAGCTCCAACAGCACTTACTGCAGTTACTGTGCAAGCCCGACTCTCAAAATGCGCTCGGAGCAGTATGTTCTTGTGCTTTTCAATTATTTTAGCAAAATGGGGTTCGTTTGAATGTTAGTGATGGCCTTTGTACACCTTTGTGCACTCAACCTCGTAGAAAACTGCAGTCAAACTCGTAACTTAAAAATTGGCAAATAGGAAAATTACGGTAGGAGCCGCTAATCAGTATTCAATGTTGAAAAAACTGCAATCAACCTCGTACAAGATTTGCGAGACTGGTGGACAATCTCCCTCGGGGAGGCGCGAAGCACATCAAGATGACGCCTGAAGCTAAGGTCCTCCTGGAGGAGTACCTGGATGATAGCTGTACCTACACGCTGGACACTATGAGGACAATGTTGATTCTGGACTGTGGCGTTAAGGTGGACACGTCGACGATTACCCGGCACCTGAAGGGCATACTGTTTATCGTAAACCAAGTGAGGGTCGAGCCCACAACGTGTAATAGCGATAGCAACATTGAGAGACGACGTGTGTTCGCCGTGAAATTAAAGGAGCATCAAGACGCAGGTAGCTTTGGCGCGAGTCGAGCAGAGCCTATCGTTTAGGCGCGAACCAGTCTCGCAAATCTTGTACGAGGTTGATTGCAGTTTTTTCAACATTGAATACTGATTAGCGGCTCCTACCGTAATTTTCCTATTTGCCAATTTTTAAGTTACGAGTTTGACTGCCGTTTTCGACGAGGTTGAGTGCACAAAGGTGTAGTAGTAGTAGTAGCTATTACTTTTGTATAATAAGTTGGTTAGAGTTTCAGTTTAAAATATGGGATCCGAATGCAAAGCGTAGCTACTTCTTTCGAATAAAGCCTCAAATGGCCCGTCATAGGAGTCGAAAAAGACAAAGCTGGAATTAGCTTACATCAGCCGCATACATGTAGTACATGTAAACGAAACCGGAGTACAATTGTAATGACACTCGTAAGGTCAATTTACTATTAAATTGATGAGTTTGACGTTAGATCAATAATATTTACTGTGCTTTGCAAATATTTTGCCATCGAATATATTGTTTGATCCAAAAAGCTTCTGAAGTGGATGTACTCAGTGACGCTGCCTGCCGCTGCGCGCCCTCATATGAAAAGTCAGACGGATGTTTTCTCAGTTTTTTTTCTTCGTGCATTTGAGCATCAGCAAAACTGCACACTTTACCACGGTTCCTTCAAAGATCCGAACGGGTAGTCGCCGGTGCTCAATGTGAGCGTAGCGCATAGAGGGTTGGCCGTCGCCGTCTCGTTGTATACGTCACAGTCGGTCTCCGGTTCAATTGCCACCACGTACTCACAGTCCTCCGCTACCTTCTTGAGTCCGTGACCGATCTGGGGGTAGTACACGCTCGAGTCGTCCGCCGTCAGCGTGAAGTGCACAGTCTGAGTCTGTCCAGGGTCCAACTTGATCTTTGAGAACTTCTTAAGCTGCTTCATCTCCGGCACATTCAGTGAGCGATGTGGTTGAATCAGGAACAACATGACAGTTTCCTTGCCCGCCATTCTACCAGAGTTAGTCACATCCACCGACACTTTCACCTCTTCGCGTGAAGACTGGACACTATTGCGACTCAATCGAACCTCCGAGTACGTGAAGGTCGTGTAGCTTAGACCCGTGCCAAAGTCCCACTGGTTTTCACAGTAGAATGCACCGCCCTCCAAACTGTCCTGGCACATTGACGTCACCGGGGGATTGTACGTCATCTCGACATTCGCCGGTCGCTTTGGGTAGGTGATCGGCATGCGTCCACTTGGGTTCACCTTGCCGTACAGAATTTCTGCCATTGCCTGGCCTCCAAGCTCACAAGGAAGCAGACCATTCACCACTGCGTGCACGGCTTGCGGAATTTCGCCTAACAGACGTGGACGCCCTTCGAACAGCACAACAACCACTTTCGTGCCGGTCGCGGCTAACTCCTTAATGTACTCGACCTGGCCGGCCGGGAGGGCCAGATCTTCGATGTCTCCAGGCTTCTCCGCGTACGGATCTTCACCGATGACGGCGATCGTGTACTCTGCCTTGCTTGCCATTTCCTTAGCCGTTGACAGATCGGACTCCGAGTACGAGCCGTTCTGGTTCAAACCGTTGAAGAATTTGACTCTGTAGTCCCCCACAATCTGCTCGATACCCGATACACCGTGATACCGTGCGTCAGATATTCGTCTTGGTCAGTATAGCCCTGCCAGGAGGTGGTCCACCCGCCACACTGGCGGCCGATATTGTCGGCGCTAAACCCCGTGAGGAAAATCGGTGTGCCCTCAGGAAGTGGAAGGGTGCTGTCGTTGTTCTGTAGCAGCACGATCGACTCACGGGCGAGCTCAAGTGCAGCCGCTACGTCCTCGTTATTGCCAAGCAATGCCACATTCTGCTCGCCTGGCATGGGTGTGTCATACAACCCCATCTTCAGCTTCATCTTCACTACACGCCGAGCAGACGCCTTCAGACGTTGTAGGATTTGCGGGCTCTGGGCCAATAGTGTCTTGGTATCGTTAACAAAGCTGACGTCGACTGGCACCATGCTCATGTCCAGTGTCGTGCGCGTCAATGACAAACGGACGGCCTCGGCGTATTTCGGGCGGTGGAAGTCTTTTTGCTGCTCGATTTCAGCGTAGTCCGACACCATCATGCCGTCGTAGCCCAGGTCGTCACGCAGCAGCGTCTTTTTTTTTTTTTGTGGAACATGGCTGTCACTTAACTACTGGAAGTACCTAACGACACCCTATGACCTTGCCGGCGGCTGTCTCAATCCACCCGCCCTTCCCTATGCCTTACTGGCATAAGGCGACCTGCTCCGCTTACAGTGGAGAGGCCGCGGGCCCCAAGAGGCCCTTATCCGTTTCCCGCTGCAGCCAATGTCCGACGTCATTGGCCGCATGTGTGTATACCACTGCCCACTGCTCGGTGGGACCACCTCCTTGAGTGATGGTCGCTCCTCGGCTACGCCGAGTAATGACCATTGTGATGAAGGAAGTAGTCGTAACAACAGTAAGTTGCAGGGACTGAAAGTCCAGCAGGGGAGAAAACCGAGTGCTGCTGCTTGCTCTTGACGGCGCAAGTTGTCGAGTGTGTAGCAGCACACGGAAAACCCCCGGTAACATATATTGGTAGGATTAGCAGTAGGATGGGGCTGGCGGCTCGCCAGCCAATGGTCCGTCGAAGTCCGGCTTCTGGACGCGAGCATCGCGTCCTGGAGGCACCTGAGCCTCAGGTTTGAGCTGGACGCAGTCCTGGCTCTTCCTCCACACTTCACACTCCCACTTGATCTAGTCGAAGCGCAGCTTCAACATGATCACCTTGTAGAGCTCACCACGATGTCCTTGGCATCTTCTAGCTGCGCTGCAGCACGACGCTTCGTCCTTGGTAGCGCTCTTCCTCCTTCTTGTCCTTCGCATGCATGAACTGGTAGTAGTAGCTTGCATTCACGCATGGCGATGATGTTTGGCTCCCACTGAACGAGCTGAGCCTTGCTGACGGTCGATGCGCAGCACCTTCATCCCATGACGGCAATGTTCGAACTTGTCCTTCGGCAATGGCTTCGTCATCGCGTCGGCGATCATGTCGTCGGTGCCAACATGGCGAATCCGTAGCTGCTCGTCCTCCACGAGGTGGCGCACCAAGTGGAACTTGTTCATAATGTGCTTGTTCTTGCTGTGCTTGCCAGGCTTGGCAGTCAGATAGATGCACGACTTGTTATCGCCGATACTCTCCGGAGTCGCGAACTCCCAGCATAGTTCTTCACAGAGTCCACGTAGCCACTGTAGATCTCTAGTGCCTTCATTCATGGCAATATACTCTGCTTCCGTTGTGCTCTGTGCGTTAATCTCTTGCTTTCTTGATCCGTACGAAACCACGTTATCATTGACGAACGTCACGAACACGCTAACACTCTTTCGGTCATCAGGGTCATTAGCGTAGTCAGCATCGGTGTAACACGTCAGCTTGACGTCGTTCCCAATAACAATGTCCATCACTAAGCCGTGGTCTTGAGTACCACTCAGGTAGCGTAGCACCCTCTTTCCCATAGCGTAGTGTGTGTGGTCGAAGCAGGACAGGTACTTGCTGAGATTACGCACAGCGTGCGCAATGTCCGGCCTTGAGGCTGAGACCAGATATTGTAGTGCACCAACGAGCTCACGGTACGGGGGAGGGGAGTCATCTTTCGCATCTGTGACCACCTCAGCGCGCAGCGCTTCCGGTGTTGCAACCGCGTTGCAACCCTCCATGTGAAATCGCTTTAGCACCTCCGTAATATGTTGCCGCTGGCAAAATACCGCATGTCGACGCTCGCTGTCGATCAGTATCTCCACGCCTAGTAGATACTTGACTGGTCCGAGAGATGTGAGTTCATACTCCTCACTGAGTTGCTTAGCAACCTTAGCGCAAAGGTCACTAGGGCCGAGGAGCAGTAGGTCGTCGACGTACACCGTGAGCAACATGGTGACTTCTCCTCCCACTTTCCTGGCGTAGAGTCCGTAGTCAGAGTCGAGGCGCTCGAGTCCGATCTTCGTCAGGAACTTGTGCAATGTTTTGTTCCAAACGCGAGGCGCTTGCTTTAGCCCATACAAACTCTTCTGTAGCTTGCATACGTAGCGCGTAGAGTCTTCTCCGAAGCCTGGAGGCTGCTCCATGTAGACCTCCTCGTCGAGATCACCGTACAAGAACGCGGTCTTGACGTCGAACTGCAAGATGGCCCATCCGCGTTGCAGCGCGTATACGATCACGCATCTGATCGTCTCAAATCTGATAACAGGTGCGTATGTTTCACTGTAGTCGATGCCCATGCGTTGTAGAAAGCCTCTGATCACTAGTCGAGCTTTATATCGCTTAATCCGGCCCGTAGAGTCTCTCTTGAGCGCGTACACCCACTTGCACGAAATGACACGCTTGCCCTTGGCCTCCGTGCGTCGCACGAGCACCCAAGTTTCGTGCTGCTGCTGTGAGTCCATCTCAACTTGCATCGCTGCTTTCCACTCCTTCCACTTCTTTGACCTTGCCGCATGCTTGTGACTAATGGGGATCTGCACATCCTCGACGTTCTGCTTCGTCACATTCGTCACTACGTAGTCCTTGAGTCGGGCGGATGGTTGTCGCTTCCGCTTCGGTCGCGACGTAGCTGCACTGTCGTCTGGCGACGACTTCTGCGTCGTGCATGGCTCCCAGTTCTCGTCTTCGTGAGCATCACGTCGACTGTCCTTGGCCTTCGAGGCTCCCACTCGATTTGCACATGCTTTCGCCTTATTCTTGCCAATTTGTGTTCTTCCGCTTGGAACCTCCCACTGAAGCTGCTGGCTTCTTAGCGTCCTCGCTTGGTTGTGGGTCATCACTTCGAGTCGCAGACTCGGCTTCAACTTCAACACCTTGGTCATGGCTCTCACCAGCAGTGGCCAGCTTCGCCATCTCCGCTGCTCGCCTTTCTGCAAGCTCTGCAGGAAGCTGCAGGTACGTAGACATTGTCGTCCGGATCGGCACGATCGGAAACTCCGCAGGTAAGTCGTAGTCTTCGTAAGCGTAGGTGTTTGCAAGAAGTTGCTCAATATACACAGTGTTTACCGTGTACTTCTCATGTGCCTTCATATTTCCATCTCTGCACGTCGTCACTGATCCTGTGCGCAGGTTCAGCAGCTTATAGCCCTTGGTCTTCTCGCTGTAGCCAAGTAGTAAGCACATCTGCGTCCTTGGAGTGAGCTTCTCCTTTCTCTGCCGAGAATCATCAGGGATGTGCGCGTGCACCAAGCACCCCCACGTGCGCAGCACGCTGAGGTCTGGCCGCTCTCCGTACAGGGCCTCGTACGGGGACTGCTGGTCCTTCAACACCGGCGTCGGCGTCTTGTTGAGCGTCTCAATTGCATGTAGGAAGGCTTCTCCCCATAATGAAACAGGCATTTGCGTAGCTTGTAACATAGATCTGACCTGCCGCATGGCGGTCTGGTTCGTGCGCTCCACGATAGCGTTCTCCTGTGGGCTGTAGGGATTGGATGAACGCGTGTCGATGCCGAGGTCCTTGCAGAAGGTCTCGAGCTGCATGTTGACGAACTCGCCACCACCATCGGAGAACAGCGTCTTGATGGTCGCCTTCGGGAACTGGTTCTGGATCCAGCGAATCTGCTTCTGAATCAGCTCCGTGGCTTCGTCTTTGTAGGCTAATAGATATCCCCACTTGTATCTCGTAGCTTCGTCGATAATCAATAGAAACTGGTTTGATTTCGATATTGTATCCACTTCAACACTGCATAGGTCGACACAAAGCTTGTGCAAGGGCTTTGCAGAGCGAGACGGCTTGCGCTTGTAGCTCATGCGCTTCGTCTTTGACTCTAAGCATGGAATGCATTCATAGACAGCAAAATTCTTCGACTGCATGTTGATGCCAAAGTTATAGTCTCCTGCCATAGTCTTGATAGTCTCCATGTTAACGTGGACCATGCGGTTGTGCAGCAACGTCATGGGGGTTCTCAGCTTCACTGGCCTTGACGCTCATCACGTTTTTGCTCTGACGTGGCGTCCACATGCGGTACATCCCGCGGATGTACTTGAAGCGCAGCTTCATTGTGTCCTTGACCAGCCACGTAGTCTTCTGATCATGCGAGACGCGCACCTTGAAGTTTCCTTTGAAATGCATGTAGGTCTGCGAGATCAGGTTGTAGGCAGCCGACTTGGCGTAGCTCACGTCATCAAGGAGGCGCTTCCTCGATCTTGCCCCGTGTGCTCGTTCAGCACTTGCATAAGCACTGTGCCTACAGTTGCGCGCTCGGTTGTGCCCGTTGCCGAAAGACTAGTTCTGCAACTGAGTCTTCGTGTAGCTCCGTAAACAAGGTAAGGTCGCTCGAGACGTTGGTCTGCGCGCCGCTATCCAACACCCACTCCACCATGTCCTGGTCCTTGTCCTTGTCCTTGTAGTTGAAGTTGTCACGCACCGCGAGTACATGCTCTTGTCCTTCAGCTTGAGTCGGTGCAGCCGACTTGGCTGTCTTCACAGTAACCACATCGATCATCCTGCGCGGCGGGTTGCTCGAGTTGTTGCTGTTGTTATTGTTGCCACGCTGGCGGCACTCAGGATCGCCACTTCCAATGTCCTTGCTCTCCGCACGTGTTGCACTTCGTCTTCGCCTTTCGCTTGGCGATGTCATCCCTCGCACTGGATGAGCTCTTGCTCTTCTGCCGCTTGTTCCGCCCACGCGGCGATGAGCTGCGGCTGCGACGATTGTTGCGGTTGTTGTTGCCTCGTGCTTGGCTGCTGCTCGAGTTTCGACGTCCTCTTCCGTCGTTGTGTCCGTCGCCACGGCCACCAACAAATGCAACATCTCGCTGGACGGCACGTCCACCTCCACCACGTCCTTGCTGTAGCTCAGTCTCTTGGCGTGAGTGGTCAGCGAGTCGAAGGCGCTCGATCGCTTGCTCCCACGTAATGGACTCATCACGTCCAATACGTACTTCATGCTCGTTTACCACCGCTGGGTACACACCCACTGTATTCGACAATAGGATAGAGACGGCTTCCTGCTCAGGCAGCTGCTTGTTCGC